AGTTCAACATTCTGAACTACGACAGAGTTTGCTGCATTCTGCTGCAATAATTAACTTTAGACTGCTTGCAGCCACTTAATTGTTTACTTGGGCATTGTCATTGCATTTACATGAACTTCTTGTTAAGGATAACATCCTTTTAATAAACTCTATTGTAATACAAGAGCCCAATTGTACAGCAGACATCTGCTCGACCTTAGTTGTTAAATTCAATTTGATCGTAACTATTTTAACTGTTTAATATATTTTTATACTTCTTCTGTATAAATAACATTTGTTAATTCTTACAATGTATTTATGCTATTTAATCTAGTTTAACCTATATATTTGATATCATATGTTAACACTACTACTTTATTTTTAATTGTTTTTACAATCCATTGTTCTATCAAACTCATACTGTTTATTATCTTTTGTTTAATTATAATTTGTTCTTGTACTATTATATCTGATAATGCATCAAGCGGGATCAGGTTATGTACTTTTGTACCTCTAAATAAATGATTGATTGATTAATTGTATAACATCCTAATTTTAAAATGTCTGGATCAGCAATTTTGAAAAGGTGGCAACACTGCTTGTAACGATTTTTAATTCTAGAAAAAAAAATATATTTTTTTTTAATTTAAGTAATATGTGTTCTGTTTACATTAGAGCATTTGTGTTCAATTTTAAATTTTCATTCACCTGATGATGACAAATATAGGTTTGTTGAAAGCGTAGTAATATAAAAAATTTTACTAAGCAATGTGCTTCATAGTTGATTTATATTTTTAATTTCATTATCATTATTTTTTTTAATACAGCTGTCCCTTGATAATCCGACAGGTATGGGACCAAAGGGGTGTTGGATTACCAAAAGTGTCCAGATTACCGAAAATGATTACATATTTGGCATTGTTTTGCTAGCAGTAGCCAACAATATTCCCTACTCCAACTGTTTGAACAGAACTGCTCACGGAAAACACACGAAATATATGTTATCATGTAAGAATTGGATGGGAAGATTTACGTCACAACATGCTTCTGTGCAAGAAGACATGTAACGGGGACGGGTACCTTGACGGGAGGTGCATCAGACTACTGAGCATGTCGGATTACAAAACATCGGACTATCAAGGGACAGCTGTACTTTAATTATTGCAGTAGTTAAACATCTTAAAATTCTATAAACAAAATTTTAATGTTAATCTTATATACAATAGAATACTTAGTTTATATATATATATTATAATAGCTAATAAATCTAATAAAATATTTTTGATTATTGCATTATAAAGCTGTTCAAAAATTCTGAATATGCAGTCAAAGACCTGAAATCACCAAATGATATCATTATTAAATTTATTTTAGTTTTAAGTTATTTTTTATTCAGGGTATTAAATATTTACATGAAAAGTATATGAATAAGATCAGTGAATCTAATTATAGTGGTGCATCATACTTTAAATTTAATTCATTCCAATAGAACATTCAAAATTCAAAGCAATTTTTCTTAGTAGAAATAATGTAAAGTGAGTTAATTTATTCCCAGACCTCAAACAATACTCATTTCAATAAACTTAAAACAGCAAATATGCATAAGTTAAGGTAAAAAAATAGCACAAATAGGACAATTAAATGCCCTAATAATAAATTAAAACACAAAAACAAAAAATAAAATATGTAAATAAAGTGTAATAAAATTAAAATTGCATTTACTGGTCACACACTGTCAACTTTGACATCTTAAACATGTCTGCCGCCAGACCTGCCACATGTATACCACTTTCATGCTTTGCAATAAATTCCTTTTTCATAGCTTTTTTCAAGCCTTTCTCTTACTAGTTAGACTTTGTTGCTTCCACACACTTCTCAGATGCCATGATTAATAAGTAAAGGTGATATTAGGTTGAACAGAAAGTTTTTACATATTTTTAACAGTTGTCATTATTTGAGCCATTTACAGGCCAAATTGATTAACTCCACATTTTAAATTTCTCTAAAATTTAGTGTGAAAGCACTTGATATACTTGTAACTTTTTATATTCATAATAAGTTACCCTAATAATAAGGATTAATATTACTTAATGACAAAATTTTATTGGCCATCAAAAAAACTTTTATTTATTTCAGAAGCCAATCTAATTAACTCCATACTATAACATAAATCTGCTGGCGCATACTGCAGCATTGCAATTGCAGTGTGTGCTGACCAATGCCTTGTAGATAACAGTAAATTATTTAATGTTATCTCATTACAAAAAATAAGTGAAAGAAATTAGTCGCAGTCCAACTGCTGCAGAAGTATTGCTATGGAATATTGAATGTAAAACAATCATTCAATATTCCATAGCAATACTTCTGCAGCATGGAGCATTTTGGTGGTAATTGTTTTTTGAGAAATAAAAGTTATACTGTAATATCAACATGGACGAAACTAAAAATAATTTCTTTCATTCCTCCTATTAAACATGATTCTTATAAAAATTTAAGAACAAATTGACATGATGGGACCTCAAATACAGCTGACGATAAGACATCATTTACGTTGCTGGATAATCAATTTAAACAAAATAATAATAACCATTGTAACAGTAACAGAACAGTTATTATTCATTTTTGCAACAAATCTTTAATAAAAAATTATGATAATGATGTTTCTCTATAATAAAAAAACTATATGAAAACTGAATCTGACTGAACTGAATGTTTCTATGTTTTTCACTTGCCAAATTGATTAACTCCGTCAATCACACCAAAAGCATAATAATAATAATAATAATAATAACAATTATAGCATGTCTATGCTATCTTATACATTTTATATGTCATTAAATAAAAGCTACATCTACAATAATACATTCTACAATGTTTATTTGAATTTATACTTCAAAAGAAATTTTAAAAAAGAATATACAGTGGAACCTTGCTTAACAAGCACCTCACATAATGAGCAAAACAAATTATAAAAAATTGCCTCGCTTAATGAGCGATGTTTTACATAACAAGTGATGAGAAGAGGGAAAGTTCCAAATTGTGAGCATGCTCCATCAGTTAATTTAATGACAAATTTTAAATTAAATTTTAGAAATGTCTGAATTAAAAATTAACTATTTATAATTTTTAAATTTAATACGAGATGGAAGCATAACTGCCTACCTCTAGTCAAATTAATTAATTTCTAATATTTAATTATAGACTTTACATAGCCCAAGAATTTGGCATATTGTTTGGCATCTTCATCAGACATATCTGTGTTTTTTTTTTTTTTCTGCAAATCAAATTCTCATTCCAGATTGGTTTATTCCGCGCTAGAAGAAAAGATGATGATGATGATTCACACTTTTTAATAATGCACACTGTACAATTTTCTTTGAATAAACCAGTGGTGTACCGTGGGTGTCAGATGCCGGGGCGGAGGAAAATTTCGCCCCCTTATTTAGGTATTTCAATTTAAAAGACCAAAATTCAGTTTTATCACAGAACAAGCAATGAAAAATTCGGTGATAGTGTGGCAATCTGTTTAAAATAGTTCTATTGGATATTAGTGGTGTATATGAGCGCGAATGAATCGTACAAGCAAAAAAAAAGGTCAACAGGTTTCGCAGGAACTCCTCAGATGAAAAAGTTACTAGTTCACCCGGCGAGCTGAGTACCGGACTGTCCAGACGATAGCACTATCGTAGGTGCAATGCAAGTATAGATAAGGATGTTTCAAATTTTTACAAGATATTATTATTATTTATTGTGAAATTTTGCCGCCCCCTAAAAAGTGCCGCCCTCACTACAGTACGCCACTGTAATAAACGTTATACATAAAATATTTGAGTATTTTTTTTCAGTGTGGGATGCATTATCTTATTTTACATTAATTTTTATGGAAAAATTGTTTTGCTTAACAAGCGTTTCACATTACGAATACGATTCTGGAACGAATTATGCTCGTTAAGAGAGGTTCCATTGTATTACTTTATCACTTTTCTCCACTTTTTGTTTTATGAAGTTAATCAATTTGTCAAGTGAACAGCACATTTAACATAGATGTTTAATTTAATTATAATAGTTGTGAATTTTAACACATTATTGCCAATTTAAGATTATATTCTTTGTTCAGAAGCTTATTTTACACGTCCAGTGCATTTTTTCATTCCATGCGCAGTTCGAACTTTTAAGCATTGTTTAAACTCTAAAGCAAATTTTTTGTTGAATTTGGTATTTGAAGTACGAGGTACCACTGTATTTGTAAATTAAATTTCTAATGAAATATATTTTAAGAACTGGTTCTAAATACTTTATTGTGTTTTTATTGTATGTTAAATAAACTAAGTATATATTTAAATTAAATATTCATTTTAGTCAACAACCAGGAACTTGTCCAAATCGAATTTGTACTCACAGCTGTCGAGGCATATTTTCTTTGTGTGCTAAGGCATTTTTTGGTCGAACAGTAATTATGGGCCCATTGATAAAATTACATATGCCATGTGATCCAACTAAACCAGTATCACTAAATGTTGATTTCGATCAAAATTTCACCTACACTGTTGGAAAAGAGTTACCTGGTAAGTTACATTTGTCAAATCTGTTTTAATTGTTATCCTATGACTGTTATATGCATATAAAAGTTATTGTGAATTACTGTAAATAAAATTATAAACAAACATAATAATTAATTGTGTATTATCTATATTTAATTTAATCTTTTATTGAAAATAAGTTGTTTCTTTTATTTAATTTATATATATTTGAAAGTGGTGCATATTACAATTGGTTGTCAGTTGCTATTAATGAATATTGATGATAGTCATATATTATTGACTATATCATATTTACATAGACACAGGCATTGATCTATAAGGGACAGAGGGGACACATCCATTCAATATTTTTGTACTGGTAAATTGTTCTTCCTCCCAGTGTACTTTTATTTTATTGTGAAAATTCAGCTTTGGAGGGGTCATTTTTAGAGAAATTCGAAGAGAGAGAATGATTTAAATTCAAAAAGAAATCAATATTTTGTAACTTTGACAAATTTTTGAATCAACAGATGTAAAAACTTTCAATCTTGATAGGAAGTTCATTTCCTTTCTCTGATGACTAGTAAGTTGAATCAGAAACAGCCGCACACAAGACTTGGCTGGCTGTAGGCCGTTGACTCATATAAAAGGGATATTTTTCTGCCATTCCGGGTAGTCCATTAAAGAGGTTACCATACAGACTTTACATAGTCCATAGAAAGAGATTACCATATGATACAGGCAGTTCTACGAAGTCCAGAGGACAGAGTTTGCCATACTGTTCAGGAGTTTCTCCCTACTATTCAACGCAGTTCACCATACAATATATCTAAGTGCATCTAAAGAAGAAACTGTCATATAGTTCGATCATAGTAAAATAGAGAAATCATTGAAGTTACAATTCCTAAATGTCTCCAGGAAGGTAGTATGATCTATTTAGATTCATGTGAACTCTCTCTCACGGTATAGATTAAGGTTAGATGGTTGAATTTTCTCTCTCTCTAAATGGGTTCACTATATATATTTTTGCAATCTCTTTTAGTTGTAATATTATTAATATTTTTGTTCCTTTAAATATTTTGTTTTGATATTTAAATTTGGTCTCTTTGATGACTAATATCCATGCGTCTGCCCACTCCAAGTACTTGCGTTCTGCCACAGCCTACAATAAGAACAGCCTAGCCATTTGCTCTAAATACGTGTGTCGATTCCTGAGGCGGTTTGCACATAGTCCTCACTAGGAGCGCTGATAACCGGACTATTCGATCAAGTGATCAACGGTAATTCTGTAGCAAAGACGTGCTTTTGATAATTTAAAAAAAATTAAAATTTCGAAAATATTTTATATCAAGATATTGGTGAATTTTTAAAAGGTTTGATTTAAAATGGTTCATTGTTCTGTGCCATTTTGTACATCAAACAAATCGAAAAAAGATGGAACAAGTTTTCACGAATATCCCGCAGAAGAGAATTTACGTTTAAAATGGATAAAAGCTGTCAACAGAAAAGGTAAGATTTATTTAATTTTGTACAATTTATCTATTTATGCTTACAACTTATTTATAGATAGTATAACTAATAGATTTACTGTATAAGCTAACTATTTTTAAAATTTACAGATGAAAACAGTTCCAAACTATGGAAGCCAAGTGACTGGTCAGTTGTCTGCAGTAAGCACTTTCTAGAATCAGATTATAAACCAGGATTGAAAAAGAGAATATTGATTCAAAATGCTGTCCCAAGCGTTTTTCACAAATACCCATCCTATAAGCAGGTTGTTCATAAAGAAGCCAGAAGAGAAGTAAAAAAGATTAGTCCCAAGAAAGGAGTTTGTACTGGTACCAAACGAAAGCATGTTCAATCTAAACAAGTACATGATCAAGTCCCGTTAATGAGTCCAGTGGACAGAGCTGCTTTAGACTATGAAAGAAGGTTCTCTAGTTCCATACCCATGTGTAAACTTTCAGACTGTGACATAAGGCCATCTAGTTCTGCATCAAGTATAGATGTTTCTGTAGGGACAAATTATACAATGTTAAAACTGAAGTCTGACAAGAGAAGACTGAAAACTTTGGAACAGAAATGCAGGAGACAAGATCACACTATCAAGTGCCTATATGAAGAACAACATAGAATGAAAGCAGAAAATAAATTGTTAGCTGGAAAACTTGAAAAATATCATATAGAAAGCTTAGAGAATGACAGTGCCCAAGGTATGATACAATAATTAACGTGGTAACATATTAATATTCCTAATATCCTATTACATCAATATGGTACATTATAACACAAAATTGGTTTTATGTAGCCTACTATTGATTGTTTAACTTTTTTGGTTGATTTGTGTTAGCGACTAATAAAATTATATATACTTCTAGGTAACAGCAAAGCAGATTTCATACTTGAACAGCTGGTTGTTTACAATAAACAAAAGCCTCGTTGGAGCCACAACACAGTAAAATACTGTGTCTTATGGAGCAAAAAGTCTTCTAGGGCATATACGTTTGCTAGAAAAACTCCACTTTTATCATTACCATCAAAATCGACATTGAAAAGATATATAGGCTCTGTTTCTGGAGTTAGTGTGGGTTCCCTAATTAAGCAACGATTAACTCAGGAGGCAAAAAAGTTGTCACAAGTGGAAAAATTAGGTTCACTTATTTTGGATGAAATGACCATTAAACCTAATCAGCAGTATAACAAGCAAGCAGACGAAGTAGTGGGAACAGTAAAGATGAATGGCCTGGAAAAACAACTTGGACTTGAACATGTCACAGCAAATAGTCTCCTGTGTTTTGTGTTTTCAGGACTATCAAAAAATTTTCGAATTCCTGTTGCATATTTTTTTACCAGTGATTTAAAAGGTCAGGAACTTTATACTTTAACTTTAGATGTGATCCATTCAGTGGAGGCAGCAGNACACTGTTTATTTTTTCTAGTTGCCTGTGACCCTCTGAATTATTGCTATTTTTCTAACGTGTAGCGTGTCTGTAGCTCTTCGTAGAATAAAGACGTATAGAAGTTTCGTCCGTCTCCCGTTTACATCCTTGCTGGCTCAGTTTATCCAACTTCACCAACAAAAACACTTATTTTGGATGAAATGACCATTAAACCTAATCAGCAGTATAACAAGCAAGCAGACGAAATAGTGGGAACAGTAAAGATGAATGGCCTGGAAAAACAACTCGGACTTGAACATGTCACAGCAAATAGTCTCCTGTGTTTTGTGTTTTCAGGACTATCAAAAAATTTTCAAATTCCTGTTGCATATTTTTTACCAGTGATTTAAAAGGTCAGGAACTTTATACTTTAACTTTAGATGTGATCCATTCAGTGGAGGCAGCAGATCTAAAAGTACTCAGGATAGTTGCTGATGGCCATAGTAAAAATGTTAAGTTATTTGAATTACTTAGTGCTGTCAACCCTCCAATTCCGAAGATTCCACACCCAATGGACAATAATCGTTCAATATTCCTATCATATGATCCATGTCATATATTAAAAAATTTCTGGTCATTGCTTCTTTCTCCAAATAGGGTAATGGTGAATCGTGGAAAACATATTAGTGGTGTATTTCTCCGAAACTTGTTTCACCTACAGAGAGATAATGTTATTAAACCAGTAAGATGCTTAACTTTTAAACATGTCTACCCAACAAATTTTGATAAGATGAAGGTTAAGCATGCAGTGGACATATGCAGCCAAAATGTAATTGCTGCACTGAAGTTTTTACAGAAGCATGGACACAGGTTTGGAAACTTGAACTTTGTTGAGGCCGAGGGCACAATTGAGTATTTGGAAATGATGCAAAAATGGTTTGCTGTTCACAATATCAGCAATACTCAACACTACATTCATTCCAGAAATGCAACAGTGATGCAGTTTGTTTCTGCTAATGATGAAAGGCTCAATTGGTTGGAAGGCGAGTTTTTAGGATATTTACAGTCCTGGAAAGATAGCTGTGACAGTCCCAATGTTCAGTTTATTAGTAAGCAAACTTATGAAGCTACTTGCCTTACAACCAGATCCACTGTTCTGTGTATCAGGTATTTATTGGAGAATGGTTTTGATTTTATATTAACCAGAAAATTCAATTCAGATGATATAGAGAACCTTTTCAGTGGACTGCGGTCCATGTCTGGATTCAATGACCAGACAAACGCTTGTAGCATAATGCAAGGACTGCATACAATTCTTAAGACAGGATTAATTAGTGCATCCCTTGAAAGCAATGCAATAAGCTTAGCTTGTGAGGAATGGATACCTCCTGATGAAGACATGCCCATTATTGTAAATCAGGTATTATATTTTGATTAATAAATTACTTTAATAGACCTAAATAATAAAGTAATCATTACAATAATAATTTATTATTTTTAAAGGTATGCATGGATAAGAATCATACTATCAAAGAAGTTACTAAGCATATTGAGCCACAACTGAAACAGCTAGAGATTAAACCTTCCAATATTATAAAGCCAAACATTCAATCTGCTACAATGGCATACATTGCTGGATACTTAGTACGTATCACTGAAGAGAAGATTGAATGTTCTGACTGTTTGGACATACTTGCATCAGTGAAATCCCCTGCACCTATCATGGGCATAATAAATTTAAATGATCTAGGTGGGCTCTTATATCCAAAAGTAGAGTTTATTGGGTTTTTGCAGCAACTGGAGAAGGCCATTCGTGCAGGCTTACCATTTTTAATTCGACAACCAGCTGTGATGCATAATTTATGCAATATTATTCTTCCTTGGATGGAGAAAAATCCATTGTTTATGTGTGGTAAAGATGGACACCAAACTATACTGTGTAATGTAATTCTAAGAAAATTCATCAGACCCTACATTTCCAACTACACAAGAACTGTGAACGACACATATATTCGGGAGAATCGTAGATCCAAAACTTTAAATAATAAACCTTTATCGCGTAAACTAATAAAAGTGGCACCTCTATAAATATGGGATGCCCAGAACTGGTACAGGGATGATGAAAACTGATAATTTTTGTAATATTTTTAAAAATTTAAAATTTTG